TAAAAGTTCAAAGAAAATGCGCGAATATTTACTCCTGGCGTTTGGCGCAAATTATTAATAGTGACCCGCCTTTTAGGATTCTTAGACAGGTGTACTGTTGCAAAAGTATACACACAAGTATATTTAGAGCAGTACTCCCAAAAGCTTAATGGTTTGCGCGTTGGGGATAAAACAGAAAAAGGCGACATGGGTTCAATCCTCTTTGCGACCAAAATTTTGAATCTTTTTCTGTGATATTCATGGCATAAGTAAAGGCCCCTATTTGCTGATTTAACGTATAATCAGTTTCTTGATTTGATAAAGAAGAAATTAAATATCTTTGAATGTCTTAGAACTTTCGCAAGCGTAGGTTCAACGTTTTCTTAAACACTAAAAAATATTCATTTCATTTTCTCATAAATAGGCTGCGCGGGTAATACACATGGTGCCAATGTGCAGGTAAGGTCTTCCCCGTGATGGGGAATGGACCTGTAGAAAACCTTCTCTGGTTCTGCAGAGTCGAGTTTTTAGCAAATAAAATGTATGAAAATGCACGAATATTTACTCGTGGCGTTTGGCGCATATTATTGATAGTGACCCGCCTTTTATGATTCTTAGACAGGTGTACTGTTGCAAAAGTATACACACAAGTATATTTAGAGCAGTACTCCCAAAAGCTTTATGGTTTGTGCGTTGGGGATAAAACAGAAAAAGGCGACATGGGTTCAATCCTCTTTGCGACCAAAATTTTGAATCACTTTTCAGCTCGATTATACGAGATTTTTTTTTCCTGAATCGGACGGAAGACCTCTCGTTGCTAGCAACGAGATCGTTTCTAGTTATTATTATTTTTCTTCTTCCTGGGCACTTTTTTGTCCGCGAATGATCTCGTAAACTACACATCCGACTAAGGTGAAATGTTTTTAGGGTCAGTAGACATGTTATGTAGATTTGCGGAACGAAGGTCATTTTGCGCGCACGTGCTTGCAAGAGCGAGCACGTGCAACACGTGAAATGACCAATATAATGAATATAGCCGTAACTTTTTCAATTTTTTATGAAATGCTTTGAAACTCATAATATGAGGATATATAAGTAGCATAGACAAGAAGACATGGTCAAAATAGTCAGATCTCACGCGCATGCACGTGCGCTTTGCTCTGATTGGCTGAAACTATAGTCTCTATATCTTTCTTGTTTTTTGATAAAATCCTTTGAAATTCAAAACTTAGTCATACATTAGGGAGGTCTACAGCCTGATATATAAGAATTATCAAGAAAGCATTTACGTGCACGTGTGCTTGCAAGAGCGCGCACGTGCAACATGAGAAATGTCCAATATCATTGATATAGACGTAACTATTGAAAATCTTTATGAAATGCTTTGAAACTCATAATATAAGGATATATTAGAAGCTTAAACAAGAGGACATGGTCAAAATGGCAAGATCTCACGCGCATGCACGTGCGCTTTGCTCTGATTGGCTGAAACTAAAGTCTCAATATCTTTCTTGTTTTTTGACAAAATCCTTTGAAATATTGAACATGGTTATACATTATAATGATCTACAGCATGATATATAAGAATCATCATGAAAAACATGCGCATGCACTTGTGCTGCAATTTGATTGGCTGAAACTTTAAATGTCTATAACTTTCTTAGTTTTTAACGAAACGGGATAAAATTTAGAATATGAATAGCTATAATGGACTCCTTCTTTATGGTACTATCAAAATGAATGCACGAGCATGCGAAAGACGCAAAATGACCAATTTATCTGAAAAACGGTAACATTTATATTTATATGATTTTTTATTGATTCTTATGATATAAAGTTATGTTAATGGTTTAGACAACATGCCATAATCATCTTGCATGTGCATAAACGTGCGTTCGCGTACAATGCGTTAAATGACATACAGTTAATAGCATTGTAGCCTTTATAATTTTTTTATGAAATCCTTCGATACTGATCATATTTTTAAAAATGTCTTACAGGAATTACGCACAAAAAGCGATTTGGGGAGCGTTTGGGGAACATCTGTAACGGTCCCCGTTACAATTAGCACTAGTTAAATTAAACTTTTACAGTATAAAGTCCTCTTTATAAAAAAATTTCAGCAGTATATAAAAGAGTCCTTTTTTGTATATACATGTATATAGTGATTACGTAAAATCAAAAACAGTATGTTACCGGCCCCTGTGATTTAATCTGATTGAAAATTATTTTGTTTCATGAACTTAATCCTGAGTTCCTATCAATTACTAGGGTTTTAATTTTGCAAATATTTAGGACATACACCCTGTTTTACCAACATGTCTGTTAATTTTATGAACATGCATCTTGAAAAATGCTTTAAAAAGTTTAGGACAAAATGTATTTACAGATATCAAATTAAAAAAATCCTATACAATATAGAGATTTGTCGGAGAAGAAAATGAGGTTTGAAATCGAAAAGATGATTTCTGTCATTATTTTGTTATGTTTGCATTTAGTTTCCTTTATAAAATTGTCTTCCATATATTTAAAAACACAATTGTTATATATTAAATATTCAACATTTGTTTTCCTCTTGATATTCTGTACTTAGTGTGCTTAAATGTAAAAGAGCATCAATTGGCATACGTATACCAGTACAGTGCAATGCAACACAAAGTGAACGAGTATAAGAGTGCTCGCAATAAAATCGTGAACAAAGAAGTACACATGTACCTACGCCGTCTTAGAGGACCTAAAAAATTAGAAAAACAGTAAGATTATCACAAAATGCAGCTTTTAATGAATTCTTGTCAAAACGTTCTTGGCTACCAAAGCAAAAAATAGTTTCCAACAGAAATCATACTTTGACAAAATTCAGACTAACCCTAATAAACCCGTGATTGCTCTTCCAAACATTCAATACATGCATTAATTTGACATTTACTTGTATATGAAAACACTTTAATACTTATATAAATTAAAATTTTTTAGAATGATTACAAATTACTAGTAAGTGGCAAACAGGGCTTACTTGCGCAGACTTTGTTAAGAAGTACGTGGAACAGTCTGGATTTCTCTAAGTCGTCGATGTCGTCCACGCGGTAGTAATTCCTGGCGCCACTCGATATCCCGATCATCTCCACGTGGTCCACCCGATGTCCCACCCCAATACCGAACACCTCCACGCCGTGAAACTTCAAATCGTTAGCTTCCTGTCTCGTCAGGGACTTAGCCATCGGGAAAGTAAAGAGATCGTACCTACCTATGTGTGCCAAATTCACCATTTACTTAGTATTTTAACATAAAGATGACTAAATCGGTTACTCTTGCAGAGACAGAGTTCATGCAAGAAAGACAATCAAACACGTTTAGAGTTGAAACAAAGGCAACATTTTGTGGATCTACATATGTTTTATCTCCTCGTAACGATGTTGGGAGGGGGGTATAGTAATGATAGCGTGTGTGGGGGTTACTTGGTCCTTTGTGCTAAACGGAAGTGAGGTAATTTGCATTGGAATCGATGTTGAATAGTGCTTTGTTTAATAAATGCTTTTTTGCAAATGGATGCTCCGCTTTGCGTTGATCTTGCTGGTTCTTATTCATGATGTACGTATTAAAATATTCAATGTGGAATTGAAATAAAATGAATGTTCAACAAATCAGATGTAGCCAGGATGTTAAGGTACTCTTGAAATATTCAGTATGTTTTTTAAATAGTTTACACATGTGCACAATTTCTCAGGCGTGATGAGTCCTTATAATAGTTTTTCAATGCAGATTTGAAAAGCATTCAATTTAAATGAACGATTGGGGAATATTCATGCAATTTGTTATTAAATATGAAACAAATGGAGGCTCCTCTTTTGTAAGGTAATAAAAAGATTTGATTCCGTGCTAATACGTACCTGGGTTTGTCTCTCCGTCTGTCAGAATGACGGCCAGATTCTTGACGTTTTCTCTGTCGCCGGCCTTTGGAACAAACACTTCCTCTCTAGCTTGCTTCAGTGCCCTATATATAGTGGTACACATTCCGTCCGTGTACGGGATACTCCTAATGGCCCTCAGTACCTCATCCTTCGTCTGATATCGGTTAAAGTCGAACTCCAGTTTGCTGCCAGCACTGAAGGTTATCACGGCTACTTTGGTTTTGTTCGGTCCTATCTCGTATCGCTCTAAGACCCGCTCCACGAAGTGTAGCTCCTTTTGGTACGCCTGTAGACCAAGACTTCTGGAGGTGTCGATAAGGAATGCAATGTCGGCATCCTGAGAACAATCTGTTGTCAAGTATCAAAAAAGGAGGTGGGGTTCATAAAATACTTCTAATTCAAATTAAAGACACAAAAATATAAGGCACAGACCGGAAGGTTATATGTACTAAATTAATTTGACCTGTAATATTAAGTTTTTATAGTCTATTAATGCGTTTGCATTTACGAAGGTATGACTACATGTATATGTTTTATGTCTACAACTGTACCTGTACTCGAAGACTCGGCGAGGTTAAAGATCAGTTGTGAGTCTGTGTTACCTAGAATATAAATTAATCGTAATAAATGATTTCTTAATTTGACTGGAAATAAAGTTTTGATTTCAGTACATTATACAACATTCAAGTATACATGAATAATGTTTACATTTGGCTACCTTTATTATGCAGTTGCATTCTTTTAAACAATGCAACTGATATTCTCGTTTCATCAACTTGTTTGTCAATAACTTAAACCTCGTTTCAGAAATTTTTCGTACGTAGAGCAGGCTCTTATTTATCGAATCAACTGAGAGATATTAACCCCATGCGCGGGTGATGAGAGTATATTGCTAGATAAGTAAGGGAAGTTGAAAAAAGTAAGTAAAAGTCTCGGTTGTTGTGTTACTATTAACGCATTTTCTGGTAAAATATCCAAATATGAAACAATATGTCAGACTTAAATCTTTAATTTCAACCTCACTGGGATATATCCTGTCAACATAAGAATAGAAATAGTAGATTTCTCTACAATTCTCTGTTATCCTTGGACTTTCAATAAGGCGTTGCATTCTCGACGTTACATACTTAGCGTTTTTACTGAAAAAGCAACTGTCAATGATATCAAAATGCCTAAACTTTAATTTAATGTGGGGAATGGCTGCATACAGAGTTGAAAAGTAGGAAGTTTTTATGTTTTTAATTCTGGTAAAATTTGGTGTTTTCTTTTCCAAAAGTTCCTTGGTATTTTTAAGTACGCCTGTATCCACATCTGACCAAACGAGTAAACTTTTTTGATCGACATCGTGTATACCATTTATTGCAAGATACCAGCAAAATTATAGAATTTCTGCTTGCTCCATCTTTCTTCATGGATAAGCAAACTATCTTTGCGAAAAATCTTTAAAATCAACACTTCAGAATTACGCCACTCTAAGTGAAAACTTTTCGGCTTAGTCCCCTCTCACCGTGTTTTGTTGGTATATAGGATAGTTAAACAAAAACCTGCTTCTGTCATTACCTTAATACACATTGCTACCATACATCTCGTTAGTGTAGCACAACAAAGTAACAATTTAAACTTGAGAGCCATTTAGTTTTGCTGTCCGGATCAGTAAGGAGTCAATATTATTTTTGTATAATAATTTTAAGTACATTGAAGTTTACTAAAATCTTGCAGACCCATCGTTGGTTTGAAATACTACATGTAATTAGTGTGTTCATTATTCTGTAACTTTCAGAAGATAAACCATCAAAATGGAACTGTTTTCTTAATATGAAACACACAGGAACATTGTAAAACAGTAATAAGCTTTTTGGACAATTACAAATTATATTTTTAACGTTTTTTCAAAACACATAATAATATATATATAATAAATATAAAAAACATGGTTTTGTTGCCCCCCCCCCCCCCCATCAAATATAAATTTTCGACATCTAGTAAAGAAGTTCTTACTATATTTTATAGAAAACTATACCCATTAGTGTTCTTATGAAAATTATGCTTACTTTCTTACATGGACTTTTTTAAAACCCTTGTTAAGAATTGTTATATAGGATGGGCGAAAAATTGAATGTTCATATTGCATATATTTTCCATAATGGCAAAATATTATCCTTTCCTTAAATTTTGTGAGTATTTATGTCCTTATGGATTTATTGCTTGTATACCTTGTTTGTGGCGTTTCATGATCAAGAGATGTAATATTCTCGAATAAAATATGCTTTTAAAATTGCTTATACATGTATTTTCGTTTTTATCATGGTGTAAGCTGTGGTTTAATGGATGCACATGTAAAAGCAAGAATTGCAGTTTTTGCTGCCTCCATCTTAACAATGTGATGGCCTTCTCGTATTCGTTTTTCTTTATCATAATTTATATTAATATTTTTTGGAAAAGTGCTAGTAGGCACATATAATCAAACAAACAGGTACATTAATATTTTTTTCAATTTACAACAGAACGTTCAAATCTACACCCCCTCCCCTAAAAATAATTATTCAAAAATGCGAAAGTGTTAGTACATCATATACATAGACAAAAAAAGGCTTACCTAGCCAAATGAGTATCTACAATAGAAAATGTGAAACAGATTTTCAAAAAATGCATAGAAAATTTCAAATTTAGGAGAACTTTTACACTTTGCGAATTGGAACATGTATGCATCTAATAAATTGTTTTAAATGAAGCATTATATTACAGATATTTTCTGTTTAAATTAGTTTTAAAAGAGAAAAAACTTAATTTGGTCAAAATAAATCAATGAATACATCTTCTACTTACCAAAGATAAAATGTTAATATATACATTATAGTTATCCATAATGGAAATCAAGGCAGTGTATGTTGATTATAGCTCGTTTGCGTATTTGAAACATTGTGATAACATCATGCCGAGCTATTACTTCATGGGACCCTATTTTTAAAAGACTCCAGATTATCTTAATTTGGCTTAAATTTGTACACTTGGTCTGTTATGACCACTTACACCGTTAAACGGATTGACGGAAAAATCCGGATAGAATGAAATTCTTCTATCAATGAAGCCGATATCGTTAGCGTGTACTGTTTACCTAACCCCAAAGCCTTGTCATTTTTGTTTAAATGTCTGAATTAATTGGATTTTAATATGATTAATTTCAGGTGGTCAGTATGAATGCTTTTAATTTTTGAAAAATCAAAGAAAAATATTTTACCACAAACTTTGGCAAGAGTGTGAAAGCTCTCAACAATATTAAAATTCATTTAGATTAATCCTTATTAATCTCATTTATTGATGTCTTATGAAGTGGCGAAGGATTTTCAGTACTATAAAGTCGTGAAAGTGTTTGTGATTTAGTAAAAAATGTTTCAAACAGGAGTAGGTCGTTAAAATTGAAGCTAATGATCTTCAGATAATAATTTACATTGTAATTTAAAAATCAGCAATGATATAAAGACTTTCAATATTTAAAAATAATGTCTGTTTAACACATGAAGGGATAAATACTTTGAAAAAATGAATTTAATATCAAAACAAGAATATGTTTAAAATTAATTATAGATCTTGTGGTAAATATTCTAATTTTAGTTTTGACACTTTGTTCCGCTTATTCAAATAAAAAATCTTGGATAGTTTGCTGGTTTTACGACAAAATCCCAGAATATAGGTATATTAATCTCTACAGGCACGAAGTGGGGGAGGGGTGACAATCTGTTTTTAAATTCTGTAGTTTCACATACAAGAAATACTTAGTCTTTCTTATACGATAAATGGACCAATTCAAGATATAAAACATGAAAAAAAATATTTCTTAAAAAACAAAATGAACATCATAATTTTCTTAAGGACATATCAGTGAACTTGCTGGCATCGTTCAATTTTTGCAACAATTTTTATATGACATTGAAGTTAATGCTTGATCAAGACCATTTTTTTTGTTTCTGATGTTCAGTATATAACACTAAAATATGATTCAGTAATTTTCGCATGAATCCGAAATTAAATTCAAATTTCGGTGAAAATATCGTTACGGATGTTAGCGTTACGGAAGTTAATTCCCCAGCAATAAAAGTTAAAATTTTCTATCTCGGCGATAGTTAAAATCAAAGATTGTGTTAGGATTTTAAATAAAAGTATGAAGCATTTCGCTCCCAAAATAATAAAAAAATTGTATACCTTTAATGCAAAAACTTTCCTGAATTACCGTTACGGAAGTTAAATTTTTAAGGGAGACAACAGTTTTTCTGTAATTAATTTTGTTTTAATATTTCGAGAATGTAATCGTCTAAAATAGCTGACTCACTACTAGAATCAAAGATATAAGATTCCGTGGTCACTTTCAGATGGGTTTCAGTTCTTTTTGAAATCTGCTTTCTAATCATGAAATTTAAAACAAAATCGTTATGGAAGTTAATGGATTTTTAGCAACATGCAATGATTTCGCATGAAAGAAGATGCATGCATTTCTTTGCGAGAAGTGGTTTGGTTTCTTTTTATACAGGATAAAAAAACTTTTTTTAACATTCATCGCAATCTGTTTGGAACTCTTTTACGACTGAGAATTTCATCTTGAAATTGTAAATGAATGACATGAAATGAAGCGACACATAGTGAGGATTTGCAGTTTTTCAACATTATTTTTTATCAAAACGTCAGTCTTGAACCGCACATTAGATAAATATTCAAAAACCGTGTGTGTATATTGAGACTTATCGATCATAATATGTGTAGTCAGGATATTAGAACGGTATATTTGTAAGCGACATAGAAAAATCTTAATTGGACATGTTTTGTAGAATGACTGTTATGCACAGAATGGGGGGGGGGGGGTCTTCACTCGTCGCTCGTTCTATACTTACTAAGTTCTTCTGCAATCTAACAGTCTAAGTCAAGTAAAAATGTGAGGGTCGTACTCCATCAAATAATATATTTCATTTAAATTTTTTAGACAATTAATAATCAAAATTCATAAAATAAATTTAGAATGAAAAAACTTTAGAGGACAAAATGTGACGTGGATGGGTTTTTTTTTAATAGGCATTAAGGGTTTTTTTTATCTGTTTTGGCAAAAATTATAAAATCTTGCCCGGAACCCCAGCAGCTACATGTTTTAGGTCTGTTAGAGCTCTGGTTCCCCTCTCTCTTGAAAAAAAAAAACTGGTTCTTTTTGCAAATTCTTTCAGGCGTGAAGTTTCGCGGGAACCAGATAATGTTTTTCTTCACACGTGGGTTGCATGCAGTTTCAGTGTCTGAATTTTAAACCATGGCAAACAGCGCTGGAAATTTAGGTAAGTTAAAAAAATCTTTGATATTTCACCTTTTTCATTTATAACACATTCTTGTGGCTTTTACAATTGGTAAAAGCGTGGTATTTTTATGTTTACACTTCTTAATCTTTTGTGAGATCACACGTGGTTGACCTGAGAGCTAAGTCATTACCCTTGTTGACGGTCTTAGAATCATTGTCAGCATATTTCTTATGCACTTTCGTGACTTTGTCAATAACTTATGTCACAAGCTGGACAAAATAAGGCCATTTAAAGTTTTCTCAGTCCCCCCCCCCCCCCCCCCGCGCACACACACACACTGACTTACATGTACCTAACCTAATTACCTATTCACTATAAACATACAAGTCAAAAATTTTAACACAAAGACTTTATTAATCAGAAAAATAATGTTATCCAAAGGATTAAACTCTATATTAGTTTATTTTTTCTCAAAGATCTACTCCAAGTAAAATCAAAAAGTTTTCATTTCTACTTTTAGACAATTATTTGAAATTGAAAGATTTAGAATGTTTTGCAGAAAAGAAAATAATTTCAAGACTCCTAGTTTTGTTTGTTTGTTAATTATTCCCTCTGGTGTGTAAAAAATCAGGGCACAAAAAAAACTTAGAATGGCCTTAACTATGCTGTACATGTACAATAGACCTATATGTACTATCTATCATGTTTTGTCAATCGACACCTTTCAAGGCTTTCACGCAAATCATTGCCTGCATGTTAACAACTGCTTTTTTTGGCTGTTTTTAACTGATGGTGCATTTTTTCCCTGTTTTGTTCACACTGTGAGGAGCTATCATATAATTTTCAGCATAGTAATAATTGATAAGTCACAAAATGATGTAGGTAACATGATATAAGGATGTGGTAAATGAGAATGAATTCAAATTACTTTGAGGGTGGAGAAATTGAGGGGAAAAAACAGACACCCCCTCCCCCCTTCTATCCTAACCCATAATTTTTTTAAGATTTGCCTGCAAATTGGCTGCAATTAACTTATACTTCAGAAGCAGGGATCAAAATTAATTTTATTTCCGCTTTTCCATTGGTTAAAAATTCTTAAAACATTGCCAAACATTATTTCATAGGCTTTAATCCAGTTTCACAGGTTAGCTGTTGGCAAAAAGTGAAATTAACACTAATATTAAATGAAACAATAAACAGCTGTCCATTTTTAACATGTTCTCAATACAAAGGTAAAAAACCTGGGGGGGTTGGGGGGGGGTGTCGTTTTGACTTATATTGCCTGCACATGTACCCCTTAGTTTTCACTTGTCATATCAATTTTACTTGTTGCAGGCAATTGGAAAATTAATGAGGTCTATCCATCAGAATCCACTGAATTTTTAGCTTTTTACTTTCAGCTCTTTTAAGTGTATCAGACAAAACTGGCTTGACAGAATTCGCACAGAAGTTATCTGCCCTTGGTCTGAAGCTTGTGGCATCAGGAGGGACGGCCAAGTGTATTAGGGATGCTGGGATACCTGTCAGGTAGAAATAGACAACCCATTTATTTATATGTTTGAGACTATATTGAAATTGTAAGAAACAACAAGTCAACTTAATGAAATTTTGAATGAAATGGATTCATTGATACTGTATTATGGGAAATGAAACTCATACTTCTGTATTCAGCAAACAATGCTTTAAAGAAAAAAGATCTGTATCATTCTCAAATGTCATTCAGTCCTGAATTTATTGTTGTGCATTTCATTATATAATATAAAAACTTAATTACCATTATAAGAAGTATATTACCTTTCAGTGATGTGTCAGAAATCACAGGTGCCCCTGAAATGCTTGGAGGGAGGGTCAAGACTCTACACCCCACAGTTCATGGAGGTAAGTTTGGAATGACTTATTACTTTACATTTCCTTATACCTTAAGTTTAAATGTTGAAAACTCATTCAATGTTAAGGAATATCTGAAAGAGATTTAGTTCTAAATATCTTTTTGTTGTTACTGCATTATTATAAAATTTTGTTTGTTAATATAATAAAAGATGACTACCTATAAATGCTGAAATGATTTTAGAAATCTGTGATTTGATACTGAAGATTAACCATTTTTTTTTAACATTATTTTATTCTGAATATAAAATATGCTGGCACATTCTCCCCACATGTTTGGCATTTATTACTTGTAGGAATTCTGTCCAGATTAACTGATTCTGACCAAAGTGACTTGAAAACACAGAACATTGAGATGATCAGGTATATTCACGGTTATGTCTGTAACTTTACTAAAACTAAAGCTAATATGCCTTAAAATGACCCTAGCAATTAGGAAAATACATAATACAGCTCTGTACTAAGCAGATAAAAAACTGCAACTAAACACAGAAAAACATATCATATAGGGTTTTAATTTATCATAAATTTTTAAGAGCAATTACAGTAAAACTCATTTAGTACGAACATGGATATTGTGAATTTTTACAGAATCTGAAGTAGCCTGACAGATATTAAACAAGATCCATTTTATACTTTGTTGACAGGCTGGTAGTGTGTAACCTGTACCCCTTTGTCAAGACAGTCGCTGATCCTCATGTTCTGATTGAGAAGGCAGTGGAGCAGATTGATATTGGTAAGATGCTTTGATTGATGAAAGAGAAATTTGTTTAAAAAGCATCTTCATAGTCCTTAACAAGACAGTACATGAAGCAAAAAAGTAAAATGTTTTTTTTAAAACTTAATATTCCAGGGTGGGGTGACACTGCTGAGGGCTGCAGCCAAGAACCACATGAGGGTGTCTGTGATTTGTGACCCAGAGGACTATAACAGGTGCGTAAGGGTACCAATTTACACCAAAACCACATGAGGATGTCTGTAATCTGTGACTTGGAATACTTCAACAGGTAAGTGGAGGTACCACTTCATGTCAAGAACCACATGAGGTCTGGGATCAGGGACCCAGAGGACAATAACAGTTAAGTAAGGGCACCACTTCAAATGAAGAACTGCAAGAGGGTGTCTGTAATCTGTGACCCAGAAGACATTAACAGGTAACTAAAGGCACCACTTCAAGAACCACATGAAGATGTCTGTAATCTGTTATTCAGAGGACTATAACAGGTAAGAACACCACTTCAAGTCAAGAACCACATGAGGGTGTCTGTAATCTGAGACCCAGAGGACTATAATAGGTGAGTAAGGTCACCACTTCAAACCAAGAACCACAAGGGGGTTTCTTTAATCTATGACCCAGAGGACTATAACTGGTAAGTAGGGGTGCCAGTTCAAACCAATAACTGCACGAGTCTGTGATTTGTGACCCAGAGTACTATAACAGGTAAGTAGGGGAACCACTTCACTCCAAAACCATATGAGGGTGTGACCCAGAGAACTATAATAGGTAAGAGCACCACTTCAAATAAATTTACACCCAGCTTATTATAGAACATAAGATGGAGCAAAACATCCAAACATATTACTATTTGATTTGGCAGATTTTGCAATCATATTGCATGATCCTTAAGTAAGTATGTCGAGACAAGAAGAATTTTGGTGTTGGCATAGTTCAAATTTTCCAACATCAGTAAAGGTGATGAAAATTTACTGATTTTTGTTCCCATTTATACTCTAGAATGAATAACAATATTTACTGATTATGTTGAATTTTCATGAACAGGGTTCTGGATGAGTTGTCCAATTCACCAAGTAAAGATACAACTCTGGAAACTAGGAAAATGTTGGCAGTGAAGGTGAAAGTCTTCCTTATCACATTGTGCTAGAAAGAAAAAGCCATATAGATATTGATTAATCATACTGTTTATCACTATTCATACTTTATTTAACTATGAATAATTCCTGCTTTAGGCCTTTAACCACACAGCTGACTATGATGCTGCTATATCAGACTACTTCAGGCGTCAGTATAGCTCTGGAACCTCCCAGCTAAGTCTGAGGTATGGGATGAATCCTCATCAAAAGCCGGCGCAGATATCAACCAACCTTGCTGAGCTCCCTCTCAAAGGTACATAACTCTTACTGAACACAGTTCAAAGGTACACAACTCTTACTGAGCACATTCAAAGCTACACAACTCTTACTATATACACCCAAATGTATAAAAACTGTAAACACACTCAAAGGTACATATTACTTATTCCTTAAAACGCCCATTCAATTTTTACTGAAAATATGAATTTTTTAATAAACAAAAGGTACATATCTCTTACTATTCTTTTAGTTGTGAATGGATCCCCAGGGTTCATCAATCTTTTGGATGCTTTAAACGGTTGGCAGCTTGTAAGAGAGCTAAAGGCAGCATTAGGAAAACCAGCAGCCACATCATTTAAACATGTCAGCCCAGCAGGTAGGTTTTCTCAGAAGGGGACACCACTTCAGGAAAAAAAATTGAAATAATGTTCCTTTTTTCCTCCAAATATTTAAATATTCAAAAACCTTTCAAATTTGAATCGAAGGTTAATTGATAAAAATTTCTTATGTACAATTTTTTTGAAAAAAAAGACGAGCATAATCTGACTTGTTGATAGGTGCTGCTGTTGGTGGCCAAGGGATGTCAGAGACTGACAAAAAAGTGTGTATGGTGGAAGACATGGAGGATTTATCTCCCTTAGCAGAAGCCTATGCAAGGGCCCGGGGTAAGTATATCGATACATGGAGGGACCTTTTCTTTCACACAATGTTCATTTATGATCAGATGAGAAAGTTCGTTGTAATATATTATTGTGGAAATACGGGCACTTACATAGTGTATCTGATCTTAAGAATCGAAAAGCTTGTTGGCTTCATATTGACAGATTGAGATTTTGATTTTCTTACTTAAGGAGCTGATAGGATGTCCTTCCTTTGGAGATTTATCTCACTCTCCGACCCCTGTGATGTACCCACTGCTAAAATCATCTCCAGAGAGGTCACTTTCACTTCTAACTGTATTTCATTTTCTAAAAAAAAAAAAATGATTTTGTTTTTTCCTGTTTGAAAATAACACAAGTAGTGTGTCATTCATTGCATTTTGTTCCTAATATCAACTTCACATAATTCTGGCATGGTAATTTTCTTCCAGGGCATGAGTAGGTTTCAAGCTCTTATATTATTTCAGGTGTCTGATGGAATCATTGCACCAGGGTACCTCCCAGAGGCCTTAGAAATTCTGAAGAAGAAAAAGGGAGGCAAATACTGCATTCTTCAGGTAGAAACTTTCAAATGCAGTGTCTTCAAATCTTTACCTTGTTAAAATGAATTTGTTTTTAAAATTAAACTAATTAAATTTAATGAAATCTAATGAAATTTATTTTAATTTCATTTGGTGACTTACAGTACAGGCAACGCGGATCCCGTATTAGACCGCGTCCCCTCCGCGGTGTATTAATCCTTTCCGCGTTACACCGTCGCGGGTTTTGATCGCGGTGCTACCTGAGACCGTGTTTACACCGCGGCGGGGCCAGCTACCGTTATTCTTCAGCTAAGATGTTCTTACTTGTAAAGTATTGTCGATTTTTAATCGTGTCGAAATGAGGGAGGGGGATTACGAGCACATTGATATTATAGATTTATACCATTACATGGATTCTTTAAAAATTCATTTTTTAAGTTTTATCATATTGTTTAATAAAAAACATCTTCTTTTGTTTTACCAATAGTCACTCAAATTTAATTAATTCTCAAACACGTCTGTTAACAGTAATACATGTACAGTATAGGATGAAATAAAGTCGAATAATTTATCGAATATATTAACTTAAAGTTTATTTTCAAAATCAATAATACCACCCCAAATGATCTTCAAATTGCTAAAAAGGTATAATTAAACTTTAAATGCCATGATATCGCTTCTCTTTATATGCACTGTAATCCGGTGTTCACAATGAACCCGTGCAGTTGCAGTTACTTGTAGCTATGTGTTTATTTATCTGTGAGATTATATCAGTCATTTGGTTTCATTTAAAACTACCGTTACTTTTGTAAACATATCTGTTATAAATAATAGCATGAAAAACGATGATAAATAGTGATACATAATTACAATTAAATTTTAACAAAACACGCGTAAGTGTAGGAATACCGTTGTTCTATTATTATGCGCTACACTGTAAGACTATGAACTAAATATTGACGATTTTTATTTGTTTTTTTTTTTTTTTTTTTGGGGGGGGGGGTATTGTTAATAAAATAATCACAGGTCATTCTATTCAGAATATCAATAATATCATAGCTAGTATTTGAATGTATTTCTATTTTCTGCTCTTTTCGAAAAATACTAAAATCATGTGAATCAGCAGGCACACAACGTTGTTTAAACGTTGAATATTAGTTGAAGTTGCGTTTAGACGTTGATAAATCTAGATACAATATTGATTCAATGTTGATTTTTCAACGTTGAAAATTTAACGTTGAATCAACATTGAAATTGAGTTGAATTGCCAATATTGATTCAACGTCGGATCTTCGCTGAGCGGGCCAATCCTATTTTGCGCTGATAGATACTTTGGACTATGATAGTGTCGGACTATAACACTGTCGGACCATAACGAGGTCGGACTTGACAAAGTCGCACTACCGTATATCATTACTAACTATTATAACTAACAAGTATAGTAAATATAGAAATTTTACACATTCAATGATAAATATGAATTCAGTACGAATTTGCCAAAGTATGAATTAAGAGGATACGCAGTAGGACATCCGGAAAATATTCAAAAAGACAGCATAACACAACCCTTAGGACTCAACACCAAGATTTAATTAAAAAAAACTCTTTAAAGAAAACATTTCGGCATGTCAGAGTACTAGTATCATTGAAGAGACATACTTGAAGAGACATTATTTGTCGAAATGAATATCTGGTGCATCAAAAAGTTGTACCGTATAAGAAGTGCATCTTACCTTGGAATGGTTTCATGTTCATGACTTTTTCATGACCACATGTGAAATACAAGACGTTTGTAAATGCTCGGGTTTTGTAACATGATTAATTTATAAAATGTATTTTGGTGAAAATTATTGTAACACAATTAACTATTGATAGGAAATTAAACACTAACTGTTTATAATACTAGTATACAATTTTTTTTATATAGTGATATACCGTTCCTCTGCTATAAATTTCACCTTAGAAAGTTTTAAATTTGTAATATTGATTTTTATAAACAACAATTACATTGGAGTCACATGGAAAATAGTTTGAAGTATAAAGCGCTACTTATTTTTTCGGAAATGATTTTTATGTGCAGATCATGAAATGAAGAAATTGAACACAGAGAATAGAAAGAGTAACGATTTATTACCACAACATTAAATGTAATATATGAGGTGCATATGAAAATAATACTTACTATTATACCTATTTAGATCATTTTAGAAAACATCATGATGCGATGTTTCCTTAGTCAGAAAATAACAGTGTTGTAAGTGGTTGTAAGAAAAAAAATATATTTGTGATGAGGAGTAATCTTTCTTCTAAATCTTTCTTTATGTGAAAAAAGTCATTCTAATTAAAATACTGTATCAAGTACTTGAAATATTAAACTATTTTGAAAATGGTACTTCTTATTCAATTTATAAGGCATTTGATGTTGGATGTTTTATTATTAAATATAATAAAAGAATTACAATGAAATTTGCAAAAGAAATAGAAAGTAATGTTTCCATCATTATGTTTGATCTCATCAAAATAACTACTCCGAGGTCCCAGGAAACTTATTAAGAAAACTGTGAGTAGTATTACTATTCTGTACTTTGAATGTTATCCGTCTTATCAAAGGGTCGCTATCCCTTCAATAATTATGAAGGCATCTTAGCATCCGTGAAATGAAACGGTTGAAATTTTAAGTAAGTATATTAATACTATATGACACCCCCCTTTCCAAAATAAATAATTGAATAAATGTTGAATCAACTGTTTTTCAACATATAATCAACGTTGATAATCAATGTTGATTCAATGTTAAGACTTCAACGTTGATACAAATTTTCAAAATCTACTTTGATTCAAAGTTTATTCAATGTTGTGTGCCTGCTGAATTAATATCAAAATGAAATACTTCATTCATTTGTTTTAAAAGTTTTTTTTTACTTTTATTCTTTTTATACACTCCGTTTAAAAAAAAAAAAGCAACAATAATTTGATACAAATTCCAAGGCTAATATCGCATCTGAAAATGATATCGATGAAATAATATTTAAACAATGAATCAAATGTGTTGTTGAATGGCTAGACAACGATGTGCACATCCAGCGAGCGTTACCCAAGGTATACTCTAAGACAGGTGTGAAACCCCCAGGGCATGTCGTTTCCTGCTCAGGCACTGCTAATCCCTATACACAGGAAATGATCGCGGCTAATACTTAATACACAAAGAAACAGAATTTGTCAAAGAAAACAAAAATATATGAATTTTTGCATTGAATATTTGTTAATATAAACTGTAATTTCGTCTGTGAAGTTTATCATTACACCTGCACATCCTATCTTATCTATTGAACACGAAAATCGAGAAATATTAAAATTAAAAAGAAAGACATTGTTTTAAAAAGTAATACATGTTAATATGAAGGTGACAAAACGATATTTTTTCTTGATCTCTTGTATAAAGTTCACGTGCTCAAAGTTAATTCTCGCCATCGAATGCTTTTCGGTCATTTGACAATTTGAGAAAAATGCCTGCACATTTATATAAAAGAGGGAAATAAATTAAAGAAAAGTTTTCTTAATTTGGGAACAGAACATAAACGACGAGAAATAAAGAAGAAAAGAATTTTTTTTCTTGATATCTTGGATAAAGAAAATTTAAGTTCACTTGCCCACTACATGTAACTGCAAATGCTCGTCATCGGATGTTTTCCGGTAATTTTACACTTTAAGAAAAAGCCTGTACATTTTATATACAATAAATCGAAATTAATTCATAAACAATATGAAGAAAAGATGTACATCCTTTTTTTCAAATGGATGTTGAAAATCGTTTATCGAAACTTAAACAGTCTGAGTTCAACATTTATTACAGTTTGCATATAATATGAAGATTTAACCAAAAAAACTAATTAAAATTTCTAATATTTAATTTTGTTTCTTTATAGATTCTTAATAACACAAAATAATTAACCATTGCAAAGACGTAACAATTTAATAAAATTTTCTATTCAATTACAAATATTTATATGTAATTTTAGAAACAAAAATAAACTTATTTTTTCTTAGTTTAAATTCTATTCATAGCTAAATTAATTAATAAACACACGGTTTTTTTTGTTTTGTTTTGTTTTTTTTGTTTTTTTTTTGTTACAGGGAAAACTCGCAAATTACAATTCGGGGAGATAACTCCCGTTTGTTTACGATACTAAATGTCAGTAATTGATCGATGATTTAACCGCGGCGGGGACAGGTAAGTGATGAATTTCCCGCGGAGGGAACGCGGTTTACCTGTCTACCTGGCCAAATACCGCGTTGTGATTATACCGCGGCGGGGACGCGGGAAATACGGGATCCGCGTTGCCTGTACTGTACTCAGTTTATTTCATTAGATTGATCCTGGGTATGAACCCTTAGCTATGGAAACCAGGACAGTTTTTGGATTACAGTTACAACAAAAAAGAAATGATGCTGTCATCAATAGTGAAATGATGAAAAACATTGTAACAGCTAGGAAACAGGTATATCGTTACACATTAATTATAACATCTTTTGAATATTTTCTACTTTTTATCGACCGCTTCTTATCGTAAATTTGTCAAATTTAAACTTTATTAATACGGGAATAATGGCTGAAAATATTGCACAAAAATCACATAACCCGACTTAAT